TCGGACTATATACGACTATGTTGTGCGAATTAGATCGATCGAGCCAGAAAGCGAGTCGCACGTGCATTCATATTGTGTTTCTTTCGTGGAAGAAACAACAATAAAGTATGATTTTCATTTCGTACACATTTTTTGTAACAGAAACTATATTGTGTTAAAATATCTACTTAAAATTTCGTTGCATTAAAAGAAAAATTCTTTTAACAGAATCACAGTTAAACGTATACCGCAATTTTTGAATGCACTGCCAAACGTGACATGATTCCCTTCGACACCATTGCTAGTTCTGCACTAGCTGATCTTGCATCTCGTGTCTAGTGAATGAGAATTAAAACCATACAAAAACAAATAACTATGAATTGTACAAAAGGAAAAAAAATGTTCACATTGGGATTCCGCATAAACGATGAAATGCCAATGATTCACAGAGTATTTCGTTTCAAGAATTTCCTAACCGTCAAAAAACTATTTTATTCCATTTAATTTGGCGCGCAAATTCGATTGCGTGTTTAGAGTAAAAGTTATTGGAACTAATTACAGGTGCACTTCGTGTTATTCACGTTCGAGTGAAAAAGTAAAGAATGTAAGAACAGAATATTCTTGGGGAATTATCGTCTTGCCGCGCCAAAAGACGGAAATGATGAAATATTAATACAATGTAATAATAGTTTTGTATAAGGAGGATAGATAATGTGTCTGTTATAGATATTTTTTCTACTCAAGTTGTGCATATGTCGAATGTTACCGAGTGTGCTTGTAAAACAAAAGATGTCTTAGGTCATGGTGCACTGTCCTTCATTTGCTCTAACTAGAAGATTATCTTTCCATTATATTTGGTTCAATACTTACGATAACAGTATTCACTGGACATGGAGAAAGTGAATCGATGTATTTTTCAGTCATAGAATTTTTAACGTTACATTACGTTAAAACGAAATATTAGAAATACAATTAGTGCACAGAGATCACTACTCAAAAGTCTTTGCAATGCAAAAGAGGACTGTGCACGAAATTCATACAAACATAAAATTTAATATGGTGATATGAAATTGTTATTAAAAATTAATGACAAGCTAACGAGTATAGATTTTGACACGTGCATATTTCACGAATCATTATATTGCTCCTTTTTTCTCTTAAAAAGTAGTTGCATTAATGCATAATCTGTAAGATACTGTCTACTTCTGAAGGTACGCAAAATTTTACGATTAAAAGTTGCGATCAAGCAAGATAGAATTTTATGGATTATGACTTACTAATTTTTGTATGCAAAACGATGTCTGATGAAAAATGAAAACAAAAATCATCAGAAATATAGAATTGTATTTGCAGTCGTGTCTTTATTGTTAATGTAACAGGTATGTCATAAACTACTATAGTTTTAATACTCGCTTCTGTTATATTTAAGGATAGACAAAAGGATTAGTACTATTAAAAGAAAAGATAGCAATACCAGTTTATTACGCAGTCTTAGAATGAATTAATATTAAAGCAATGTTTAAAACAATGTTACCGTGTGATACCTATTTTATAGGTTCGTTGAAGACGATACTACATCGAAAATGTTTTGATCTTTATCATTTCACGATGGTCAATGCTGACAGAATCTTGTCTGAACATTTATTTTTTAATTCAACAAAAATTAATATAAATACTGTAAATACCCGATGATGATTGTAGCCATAAATCCGTGAACAAAATGAAGGAATTTTATAATTAGAACATATCTGAATTAGATCACACAAATTTTAATTTTAATATAATCGTATTAGGAGTAGTAATATCAGCAACGTTTATCTCGCTGCCATTTTTTAGCCCAAGATCAGCTAAAGTTTTCGTTAAGTTTTCGCGAGTTTTTTCTTCAATACTTTGTACAGTTTGCATATACAGTGTTTTATTTTTGCCATCAATACATGCTGTGAGACCTGGGTTCTTCATCTGTAAATCAGATCTTTCGCAAAGAAGTTGTATCAATTCTCTTAATTTGAATTTAGGGTTACTGATCTCAATTTCTTTTGGAATTTGACTACATGCCACACAGTCTTCTTTTCTTTCAGCCTCATAAGTATAAGTATAGATTCCATCTAAATCATTAAGCACCTTTTAAAAAAAGTGATATATTAATTACATTACACCACCAAAGCCTGGCTTGAATATATGTTAACACTGCATAGTTACCATATAATTACTCAGTGATGCACTGCAACTGCTAGCTAGTTTAAATGCCTCTGTAGCACAAGCTGCAGCAATAACAGCATTTGTAGATGCTACAGCAGGTATAATATTTTTTACAACACCCTGCACTAGTCTATACGTTAAACCCTGTATATTAAATTGTGCAGCTCTCTCATTGGATTTTTCATAAATCCAGTTTATGTGTTGAGGATCATCACCATCTATTGGAGAATCGAATGGATTTTCTTTCGACCATTGTAGCACTTTTACATACTCTATGCAATGCTCTGGCAAACGTGGAGTATTTGCTATTGTACATAATGGATATGTAACCTGTATTTAAACAATTAGATTGAAAATAAGAAGTATGATATTTAATAAAAACAAATATATGTATAGAGCATTCACCTGAGGAGGATATAAATCTAAGGTGCATTCAATGCAAGCTGTCAAGCCAGGTAATATTACCCTTACATTCCCTTTGAAACCTTCTGTTCCTCCATCAATCATGGGTATTACACTAGATTTATCTAACTCTCCATTTTCATAAATTAAAAGGGATAGAAGCATACCATTGATCCATCTTCTAGCAACTATTGAATCTAGGCCACAAAGTACCATATGAAACTGTCTGTAAAATTCTTCGCCTTTATCCTGTATCTTACAACAATGAGATACAACATTACAGCCTGGAATTCTACTATTTACAAATTTTGCAGCTACTTCTGCTTTCGACGAGCCGATATCTTTGTGACGAAATAGGAACTGCCTGCAATTTTACGACAAAATCAACCTCAATTTCGATAATCTGTTAGTCTTTTAGATGTAAATATAACGTGTGGATGTCAGTGAATAAATAACTATGCTGTCATACCGGTTAAGGTTAGATAGTTCAATCGTGTCCATGTCGATTACGTGAATGTGCCTAAATCCCATTAGCGCTAAATCTTTAAGTAACTCACATCCTAACCCACCAGCTCCGATTACAAGAATCTTACAATTTTCTAACAAGAACTGCAAAGTTTCCGACGATGGTTCGAAGTCTGGTCTACAGAAGGGACCCGATCTTTCTAATACTTTTCGCAAATTACTCCATCGTCTGTGAGTATGATCGGTACACATCATTGGAGTACTGTTAAGAAAAACACCTTACAATTATAACAGTCGAGTATTAATACTTGAATAGAAAATTATATAAACTCTCTCTCTCTCTCTTAATACTATACCCTAACCTATTCGAACAATACGGGAGACATTTACGACAAACAAATTAAACGGTATCGCCATCTAGCGATGGACAGGGAACTAATTTTTCAATCTACGGCAGCGCCATCTAACGACAAAACGCCCAAGTTCATAGTGAAAATAGTTGCCACCATTGCTGTTAGATGGCGGTACTGATACCTTTAAATCAATTATGTTTAATTTTTCACAAATGATTAATTAATACGATTTTTTGCGTTATAACACTAAGATATACTGATTAATATGTAAAATTTATCATGTTTATGAAGAATTATTTAATCTAGCAGTAATTATCGATCCTTTAGTTAATGGCGCCACCTTACAGAAACGGTGAGAACTATTTTTTACTACAAACTTGGCCGTTTTCCCACCGATGGCGCCACTAGCATTAGGCAATGGGAACTATTCGACGACAAACTTGGGCATTCTCAAAATACATTTTTTTCTTATTCTGGGTTTTATCCGTCTCTATCATATTGTTATTTGTTTTTAATATTACTCTTTTATATCTATTTGGGTTGTTTCACGTGGCATACATTAGAGTTTACGAAGCCCCCAAGTGGCCCGCGTGTTCATACGTTAAGACGGCACTTAACACGACCCTGAGTGTACGTCATACTGATCCCAGGGCCGCCTTAATAGCCTTACAGACCCGTGGATTAAAATTAGTGCAGTAGATTCCTTAGTACATTACCATATCTATGACTATAAAAAAGATAATTGTCGACTATATCTAAACTCATTCGTATTATTTTCACAACTATATGTACTTGTGCCCACAAATCCGTTTCTCCTAGGAACTTTGTGAAGTCTTCAGCATGTCCACACGTTGGACGTCACTGGCTCATCCCCCATCACGCGAAACCAGGGAGGAGCGCAGATTGGAGCAGACCGATTCGCGACGCGAACGAAAAAGTCCCGTTTTCAGCTCACCATGCGAATAGAGTTGTTACTCGACGTATAGGACTCGCGTCCAGTCGTTACTCGTACGCGCGAGTAAAGTAAACACTTATTCCGCGCGCGTCTAAATCGAACGAATCACAGGTGTAACGGAAGCGCGCGATAATCGTTCGATTTCTGGCGGCATTGAGGCGAGCCACACACTGCTCGAGGCGGCGTGCTCTTCCGTGTTTACATGTTGCGCGCACATCATCGAATCGATACGTCGTGTACATGTGGGAGCGGGTTCAGTGAGTGGGTTACGAAATCGTCGGAAGGTTGGCGTTCAGCACGTGGCTATCGCGATTGTCCACCGCTCCGTTCACGGTTTTGACGTTAGGTGTGCGAAGGGTGGCTGCTAAAGGTGGCTACGAAATTATCGATGAACAATTCGATAAATAAGGACGAGTAAACGGAGGCAATCTAATAGACATCGCGACGCGACAGAGGCGAAAGTGGGAATCGATCTCGAAACGATCAAAGAGCTTCTATGGGATATAACATCGCGAACTGGGAAATGATACGCACGAGGGAGGAATTGGCGGAGAAATTTGGTCTGGACGGCGGGGATGACACTCATTCCTTATTGAACAATATGGTAGACGTCAGAGCGTGCTACAAGCCCAGCGGAAAAGTAAGATTTTCTTTCTCTAAGAGCATTTTTCGTCTCTTCGCTCTGGATGGATACTTTGGAAAAATTGTTCGAGCTTTTGCTTTCTTTCAACAACGACGCGTCGTTGTGTTTTTACGGAGAATCGTTTGCTTTGTAGCTTGATTTGTGTAGTATGTCGTGATCTTGTTAAAAAATAAAGAGAGCTATGTTTGCTCGAAAGAGTTTGAAAGGATATTAGTATTACAGATTAAGATTTGTTATCGATATCGTTGCTATCTGCTCGATTCGGCTTTAAAGTAACTGGCATTGTATACCGGTTGCATGTAACCATTAGGGTATGTCGTTAGTCATTGTTTGCGAATCAAGGAGTATTTAAAGCGCTCTACTTTAGCTTCGACTTGATTTAAGGAAATTGGTATTGATTGACGTTCGCGATGGGGGACAGGGGTTTGTTCCACTTTTTTTTTAAGGAAGTGTTCGTTAGGTTTATGATAATCGATAAACTTAACGAACAAATTGGAAGATGAAAGAATCTGTTGTGGCTACCGTCCTAATTGCATTCGTAACAAGGACACTAACTTTTTGTACTATTCATTCTGTTCTGGAGATTCTGAATAGAGACTTGTACAGTGTAAACAAGATATTCGAATACTTGAAATTTGGATCGAGTATCGTATCAACGCCAGACCAGTACACCGATACACGTGCCCTACCCGTCGGAGTATTCAGAATCCCGTTTATTTTCCTTTCCAACCACTATTAATAGCTCAATTAATCCACGACTTTCATCCGTTCCACGATTTCAATTCCCTCTAACAATCACCGCGCGTCGAATGGTAAAAGTAACTCCTCTCCTGTCGTCGATGTATTTGCACGCTAATTGCATGTGTTACGCACCGATCGGTAGTTAGATAAGAGCCACCGACTCTTCTGGACTGGTCGTGTGTTACGTACCGCGATCCACTCTAGCCCTCGCTCAAGTCTCCCAGAAGTAGGTACGTAAATTACGCCAGTGACAACACCAGCGTTTGTATAAAACGTCACGCTTGTGTATTAAACACGCACGAACTTAGGCGTTGCGCCACGTGATACTGGCACCAGCCGCAGCTATAAAGCCGTAGCGAGAAGTCAGTGCTAGCTCGGCGACTTTCGCGATCAAACGCGCGCGGCTGGAACTCTCAGCTGGATATCGTTACTATAGCCATGTATCTGCGCTTAGACTTGTCTCGGTGAAACTTACTTGCGTGACTAATTGTAAATTGTAAGTCCCTAGAGATCGTTACCCCGCGAATTGGGTTTACGCGAGAAGAACTCGTAGGTGTCGTTCGCCTTGTTGGTTCGCATTATCGTTACCGAACGAGTTCCATTGTGACGCGGCAGGACTTTTCGCGCTCCCACGAGGCCGCCTCACGTTTCCTTCGCACGGCTCTACGAACGAGACACGGAGATAGGCTAAAATTATTCCTGGCTGATAGGGAAACAGGTATTTATGATGCTAACAGTTTCTTGGGAGATTTAGCACTTCCTGGCGCGATAGCTGGGAAATTGACTATACTTCAGGAATTTTTTTTTTTTGGAGTATGTAGAGTGAGGAATGATTACAATGTTTTTTTTTCTAGTATTAATACTATTTACAAGGGTACACAAATATTTTTGTATAGTAACTTTATACAATTTTTATGGGGTTCAAGGAGGTCCTTCTTGAAAACTCATTTCTTCATCTGATTTTCAAGATAGAATATACTCTATCGAGTCAATGTTTCTGAAATTTGTTACGAAAGTGATATTCTCATTTCTGGTTATCGCGTGGCCCGCGTCCACCTTCCACAACTTGAATTCTATCTTGAAAAAGACGTTGGGATCGTTCCTTATTTTATATACTTCGCCAAGCACGATCCACAAATCTGCCATCGATCGTAGTTTATCGAAACCTACTTCAAAGTCGCGATAAGCGAGCAACGCTTGGAACGTCTTCTTCCTGTCATTGAAGCTCCAAGTATCCAGACAAAAAAGTCCAGTGTTATTTAGCATTGGCAGCAAAGTCGACCTTGTCGACATACGACAACTCATCCTCGACCGTCGATGACTCCGGTTCCGAGGCGTGACGTAACTGCGTCTGTAACGTAAAAAAAATGATTCCTACCATCTAAACAATTGATCGACACGTGGATGGAATACTCGCCTCGCGTGTCGAACGCGAACGATTAGCGTTTGAGCTGTGGTATGGCCATTAACACGTTCCCAATCGATTGGAGAGATGTTTGTTGTACATTAACATCGGTGAAATAAAATAAAATATGTAAGCTAATGTACAGAAAGTGCCCTAAAATTCTTGCACAGTACTAGAATTTAAAAAAAAAAAAACAAAAAAATACGTATTTGATGTTACTTATATTCTTAGACACTTTTGAACTTCCATCGTGAACATAGGATTCTTATTTTTCCTGAAAATTGGGAGCCTGGTGGATGGACGCGTGCCCAGTCGAGGGTGGAATAACAGGACTGGTGTTCTAAAGTGCGATTTAACGATCGCCCCTCTTAACGCACTCTCCCGCATTTACACATCGCTGGGTCCTTTTTCTGCGGGGTGTACTTGAAAGCACAGGGTTGAGTTGAAAAGCGAATTCATGGCATCCATAGCATTAAACCTCAGCGGTAGAAACCTTCAAATGAAACTCGTGAATTCTTAATGGTCCATGTGCCCAAGTATAGGCAACGAGTTTGGTGTTGGAATTCAAGTACTCCTTTCGGAAACATGAACAATAAGTAACAATAACTGCGATAAAGGAACAATCGGAGGACCATTGAGATTTGGCATGTTATCAATACCTATATCGAACGAATTATAAAAGTTCGAGTTACGTTATCTTGTAGTTTACGAAACCATGTTAGGAAAGCGTTAATAGCTGTACTAAAGTTCACCGACTCTTCTTCTGGCCTCCGAACTTTCCTTTCGATTCGACCACCTGCGCGTTGAAAATCGCTTTTACAACTTTTCGACACGCTTCGAGACATGCAGTCTTCGATTTCTCATTACTGCCATTACACGAAACCTAATGTTTTACGCATAAACGAGGAAGAAAGTCCACAGTGGCGACTGGAGGGTTGAAAATTCATCGTTCATTCGATGTTGGGAACTTTCTTTGACAATGATAAATGAAATGGTGTAACACCAGGCCACGTGTTCCCTTTTGTTTCTTCCAGTAAAGCAGGGAGGCTTGGCGTCGCGCCTGCTACAAATGAAGCGAGTTTCAAGGTAGTACAAGTTCCCTCTCCCACACATGCATGGGTTCTTGGCTTGTTCGATTACCACAGGTTCCTCTTGTGCACTGGCGACCACCGTCTCACCCCCCACGTGTACCGGCTGCCACTTCTGAGCACGATCGGTATCAGACATGACCAACGACAAACAGGTGAGTGCTTTCGGTGTTTCGTGACTTTTTGAACCAGTCGAACCAGTATTCCCGACAGTTCTCTTCACCGGTACCCCCCCTCGCTTTGGTAAAGGCCCCTTCGAACGTGGCGATCTCGGTCAACCCCTCGAGTAGCGAAAGGGGTTGCCTGGAAGGGCCACGAGTGGGGAGATTCTTGAAAATTGCATGGAGAATTTTCTGAAAACAATTCGAGTGTGTTCAAATTAGTCGTTTTCTGTTATGGACAAGAAAATCAACAAGCTTTATATGTATTTCTTTCGATCGTTCCTTCTGTGTGTTATTACTGATAAGTGTATTTTCCTCATTATTTTTCGCAAAACGTTTGTATATTAATGAAATGATGCTGTAGTTGCGGGCTCACATTTTTACTTGTGCCTTGTGTGATGTTTTGATGTTAGCATAAGTTGTTAACTAAAATTGTGAATCTATTCCTATTTTGTACGATTATAAATAAAATCGCAAGGCAATCCATGCGAGACTGACGGTAGAAAATAGCGAAGATAACAGTCTGCCCCGATACATTTAATAAATATCGACGCGATAAATATATGAATTTATTCGTCACTTACAACTGGAATAAAATTGTTCCAATTTCTAAGTCTAGATAATACTTGAGACTGTGAATGCACTCGTAGGATCGTGGCATTAGACCTGACCTGCTCCGATATTCGCTGATATTACAATTTCTCCTCCAACGTCGATGAAGCTACTATTAAGCACTCGACAACTGATTACCGACCATTACGTTTATCGGAACCGATATAATGGCGAAAGCTATATTTATGGCGAAACGATGGTCGTGTATCTAGCACGGCATCTCTTGGACTCTTTTAGTCACGGTACATTTCTCATCCCACGGATACGTTCCACAAGAAACTCAATAAATAAAACAAAAGGGCATAATTCAGCTGCTCGATTAATTCGATTCACCTATTTCAAGGTGAACTGAAATGAAAAAGAAAAAGAGAGTAGTCAATTCATAAAATGGACTGTATTTCATCGTTTCAATGGTGGTTTCTATAATTCTTCTTTTCACTTCATTCTTTTTTTTTTTCAATGTAAATGTATGATACGTGTTGAACATTTGAATATGGCATTGTTGTCGGCAGACGCGATTAATATTACCATATTCCCGTGACCCTAATTGCCGTTGCGTTCCGCGTGACAATTATTAACGTCGCGTTAGTCGCGACAGACGATCGATTCGGTTGAATTATCTGATCGTGGCGTCAACATGTGCTCACCAGCAACGGATCTGGAAGAGACCCAAGGGAAGGGAGGGTTGGCCAATATTTGTAAAATAATTCCAAATCTCAAGAATCCTATATGAAGAACTACTAGAAACTTATCTTTTATTAAAGCTCCAGATACGTTGTTTCTAAACAAATATTATTCTAATCTGCCACGTTGAATGTTTGATAAAAATCTCTTTCGTTCCTGAAATGTAACTTATTCCCCTAAATTGGTCAGAAAGTTGATCTCCTAATTAATGCGAGCGGCGTTTTCTCCTTTGTAAGCAAAAATCTAATTTGTTAAGAGTCCATGAATATTCAGAAAACAGCGTTCACCACTCATGGTCGAGACTCAATATCGTCCGAGGTCTGTTGAACGTAATATTGTAAAATTAATCTATGATTGTCTTGATCCCACAAGTGCTCTATAAACTTTCAATTCTTCAACTGGAAAACGATGAATCAACGAGATTAGAAGATCGTTTCGCGAACCATAAGTCAAGATAACGCGACGATTATTTTAATCCTTGGTTGTTCATTTAACAAACCTGTGAGTCACGCGTAAACTATTAAGAACAGAAAGATCAGACGACGATAAATAGTATTTATCGTATTTTTATATAAGTATTCAAAATCTGAAGCTTATACGATTATAAGCTTCAGAGTTATTGTGTCAATTGTGCACATGTTGGGCATCCCAGTTCTCGCCAGCATCGGGAAGCCTTTAAGTGGACTCTAAAGCTCAGAGGAGTCATAATATGCGGTAATGTAATATTACTATTGTTTTACATTCGCTACTATTTTGATTGTCGCCCTGGTAGCTTCGATGCTAAGTGGATTTATAATTTTACATTAGCCACCACTTGTTCCAACAATTTAAACTACCATTCATTTCCAATTTCTGTCGAATGGGAATGAATCGCCTATTCCAATCGCATTAGGAATAAAGAAAAGTGACGTGGAGTGTGTACCGTTAATCACTCGCCCGATGGGTCGAGATTACGGTCATAATTCCATACACACGCATGCACACACACACATACACACACATACACATAACCAGGACAAGAACGACGCTTACTTTATTCGTTATTGCGGGAAAAAGTCGCATAATTTGATCTGTCTCGCCGCGCTACGCTGCGCATCGCCAGCAAATATGCATCACGCGCGACTAACTCCGAAGATTTCACATCGATGTGATTATACACCTTCCCCTCGTGCAGAAGACACATGGGACTTTGCCAAGTCCAACTTCTAAACGACCAGTTTTTGCTAGAGAATTCGCAAATCGGTGACTGACGAATTCATCCGCGTCGCGAATCGCGCTAATTCGATAACACGCGTCGAAACGTGCGCTTTAGGCGGTTTCGTGGTCACGAGACTTTCTTCTTCACGGTTTCTGAACCGGAGAGAGTTTTGGCGAACTCGTAAATAATTCCATATGGTCGTGCTACTGACCTTGCCGTCGTTAATCGATCATAGAGCAAGCTTAATCGACGAACTCGGAGTGAGGCGTCTCTTAACCCTTTATGTTTCGAAGAGTTAGTTCGAGTTTGAAGGACAGGACGCTCGAGTGATTTCAATGCACGGTCCTGTATGCTGATCAGCCATTGGGTAAAATTTTATTTTTATTCGAGTGACAAGTGACGAATAAAATCGAATGTATACACCTATTCCCCGATTTACACAATAGCAAAGGGTTAAAAGATCTCTGTCTCATGGTGACGATTCGGCGCTTTCAGTCATGGTTCAGAGGTGTTCGGAGCAGCAAGTTTCGGCACGTTTACGGCCTGCCAGCCAAGAGGGAGAAATGCTACGACAACATCAAGATCACGAAGAACGCCCACGACTCGCAGTTCTGCGCCGTGAATCCCAAGTTCCTCGCCGTGGTGACGGAGGTCGCGGGCGGTGGGGCGTTTCTCGTATTGCCGCTCGATCGCGTAAGTTATCTAGCCTATCGAATAATCGATTCGCTATTCTTACGCGTAGTCGCACAAGCGCGAATGCCGCCAGATAGCTTATCAACGCTGCGGGTATAGCGTGAGACTACTATCAAATCGCGCATCGACGTAGATAAGTTTATCTTACCATTGATTACAAGGAAAGTATCTCACTGCAAAATATCCTTATTTTGATTGAATGTAGAGTTGCATAGCGATAAAAAACGAGGGAAAATCAAACGTCCTTAACTTTATTTTTGTAGTGAAAATCGAGGTGGAGCACATAATCGCTAAAACTCGTTAAAATAGTAGAGTCGTTGATACACATAGTATCAAGATAAGAATGCGCGTTGATATTTGCACTGGCGTTAAATTCTGTGCAAACATCGATGACACTCGAGCCGACTCTGTTTTCAGACTGGTCGACTGGACTTCAATGCGAGCAGGGTGACTGGTCACACTGGCCCAGTGTTGGACATCAAATGGAATCCTTTCAACGACAACGTCATCGCCTCCTGTTCCGATGACTGCACCGTACGGCTAATCATTTATATGCATACTGCTCGAAATAACTAGACTTTATCGCTTAGCGAGGTGTCCGATACCGAGGAACCTCCGACACGCTATTAGTCAGGCATTCGGTAATTCCTTAGGTCTCCCATTAGATTTGGCGAGGCTCCAACCATGGTCCACCCTAGTTTGGTTCGTCTTCTTGTAGGTTCCATGTGTTGTAATATTCCTTGCAGAATTACGTTACAAGACAACGATTTGGATCGCTAGAAAATCTACAGGAATACCTTAAAATAAATTTTAGTAAATTCAATTCTTCTTGATTGTTCAAACAAGAAATTTTGATTTCCTATCATTTTCAATATTCAATGCCTCCTTTTCCAGATAAAACTATGGCATATACCAGACGGTGGTCTGTCCCGAAACTTGACCGACTGGTTGGTGGATCTGCAAGAGCACAAACGCAGGGTCGCGTACATAGAATGGCACCCGGTAGCCGAGAACGTGCTCTTCAGCGCTGGCTTCGATCATTTGGTGATCGTTTGGGATGTAGGCAGAGGAGTCGCCGTCAGTGTGATCGATAGACATCCAGACGTGATCTACAGCATATCTCTGAATCGCGACGGCAGTTTGCTCGCTACAACTTGCAAGGATAAGAAGCTGAGAGTCTTCGAGCCTAGATCTGGTATCGTTGTCTCTGTACGTGTCGACTGGATCAACTTGATCTGATTTTACTTCACTTTTTCTTTCTTATTCAATTTTACTGTGAAAATTATCATTCAAACTATCGATCTTATATTGTTATTCAGGAAGGAATCTGTCACGCTGGGACCAAAGCCAGCAAAGTGGTTTTCCTCGGTGACTCTGGACGTCTCCTCACGACAGGTTTCAGTCGACACTCTGACAGACAATACGCCATTTGGAGTCAGCACGACCTGAGTGCCCCTCTGACGTGCGAGACCATCGATTCCTCCAGTGGGGTCGTGTTCCCGTATTACGACAATGACACCAATATGGTGTACCTGGCGGGAAAGGTAAACGTCGAGACCCAGCTTGAAATCTCGCACCCTATGTCTCTAATCTTCTACATATTTCTTGTTTCAGGGCGATGGCAACATTCGATACTACGAGGTGGTTAACGAGGCCCCTTGGATGCACTTCCTCAGCCAGTTCATTTCTGGAAATCCGCAGAGAGGATTGGGCGTGATGCCAAAGAGAGGCATTACCACCTCCACGTGCGAGGTGTTCAGATTCTACAAACTGCACGCCACACGTGGAATGTGCGAGCCCATATCGATGATAGTCCCTCGAAAGGTGGGCCTCGTTAACAAACGACTCAAATATACACCTTTCTGTGTTTTTAATTCTTACAAAAGTGTTATACACACTGATCTGCAATTTTTTCAAGTGTTAACGATTATTTATTATTGTTAAATAGTGGCCATGCCCGTTGATATTAGAGAAATAATAAGATCGCTATACATAAAAATACCTAAAACTCGATAAAAATGCCATAAAGAACATATTTTTCCAAACTTCTCGACCAGGCAACCCCCCCGTAGCTCTTTGAAACTCGTTACGACTAATTGAAAACTTTCACTTTCTAGAGCGACCAATTTCAGGAAGACTTGTACCCGGATACCATTGGCACCTGTCCCGCTCTGTCGGCCAGGGACTGGATCAGCGGCATGAACAGTCCACCGATTTTAATTTCCCTGAAAACCGGTACGAGCGTTCAACTTTTCCTCTTATCATTCTAATTTCTTTTCTCGATACACTCATTAATGAAATGTCAACAGGAGGCAGCATTACCACGCACAAGCCACGCGTTTACAAGCCACCACAGCTTCCTCCATCGACCGACCTGAACAACAAAAAGAAATTCGCGTTCCTGTCCGCGGAGACTGTGCCCGACTACAGGCCAATCGAATTGCACGATATGTCGGAGAAAAGCCAGAAAACCTCCAGCAATCAGAGCACCAAGTTCCAGCAGCTGCAGCAAAAGTTTGGGAACGTTGTGCTACAGGTAGATCTGGCGACTTTTACAGACTTTCACGGTTCATGTTTTACAGGTGCTCGCTCATCCGCGACAGGAATGTCTGCGTTTTAAAGAACCGCGTTAAATAGAGTAATAAGTAATAAATGGTTTGATTAAAACACGAAACATGTTTTTTAGTGGAAGTAATCAGTGGGTAAGAAACCCTGTTTCTTACCTTAAACGCTAGTAATAACGATCAAGAGTAAAATTTGTAGAATTAATACTTGTAGCAACACACATACACGATTATTATTTACTGACTTGTTCTTACGCGCAGAAGAACATCATCACAGCCCCCCTGAACGACAACAAAATCCTGGAGACCGTGGACATACCCAACAACGAAGCTGAGCTGAGATTAGCGTTCGCTCGTCAAACGGACGAGTTAAGACTGGTGCGACGACAGCTCGCCAGCAGCCAACTGCGCGTCAAAGAGTTGGAGGAACAGATTCGCAAACTTCAACGTCAGTAAAGCTTTACCGAGAACTTTAACACGTTCGAGCCTGATAACTCAGCCTACGAGCCACGCAACATCTGACTTGTTCAGTCCTACGGATCTGATCAGAACTGCAAAAATGTTGACTGCTATCCAAGATAGTAATACATCGGTCTCGAACGTGTTAACGCTTGAAAAACGTTTTCTGTAGCTTCGCTGCTAGCTGTACGAGTGATATGGTACTTAACGAATAAGTAACGCATTCCGTCATGGACGATGCGACGCCTGAGCTTTCGAAATGTTGCGCAGAGAAATGGTGCATGATAATTTCATGGTCGCATTGAAAACAACGTAAACAACGGACACTCAAACTTTGTTGACGATACGATTTTCTGGTGAGGCAATCGATAAGTGTCCAAGAGTCTAGGCAAAAAATGTTGTATACACTGTAGACCTATTGCGTGTTATTAACAAATTGTAACGAAAACAAGACATCGCCCATGTTTATAGCGGAACCACTGAATGCTACGTATTTACTTCATTGATTACTTTTGATTTTATATGAGACTATATGACAAAATAGACTTGGAGTGTATATGACATTTTTTTGGGTGACCGGCTGAACACGATGAGGTTGATTGAATTCCTCACTATAGATTTCTCCAGCTAAATTTTTAATTCTCAATTAAAAATTTGTAGGTCCTTTCTCCATCACTCTACTCCATTCTCTTTGCTACCTTTATATGATCTTGTACCGTCTTTAGCGTACACCAACGGAGCAACAATAATTTAGTCAATTCCCGTCAGAACACCCTGTCGAAAAATGCGTAGAAAAACTGAACAAAAAAAATGAAGAATAAATAATTGTGATTTACACTATTGCCTTCACTGTACAGACGAGATTTTGTCTATATAGAAAGTGTTGATACTTCTCCGCGATCATTGGTAGTTCTCTTCTGCGTCATTCGTGTGATTCTTCTCTGAATCGTTTTCTTTCCACCGAGTCGAGTAGTTTTACTTCGCTGGCGCACCATAGTCACTTTAGCATTTCCTTTGCTTCGCTGAGACTTAGTATGATATCAACTTTTTACGGAGTGTTTCGCGAAACGCGGACGTGTGAACTTCAAAGGTAAATTCAACGCGTAGATCTAAAGAAAAGTGTGTCCAAATTTGGTAAAACATTCCGTGTAAACGTACTCTGAGGAACACAAAGATTGTTTAGAGTACTCCAGTGGCAGTAATGCTAACATCTGGTGAAGTGAACAGTCTTTGTGTTTTTTAGAGTGTGAAGAAGAAAGATAAAGCTTTGAGGAAGTATTAGATTTCGAATAAGATATTTGAGGCTTTCGTGGCCATTCACAGTTAATGTTAACTGAGACTTCTTGGTCTTGGACTTGTTCTCTGAGTAGAATACTCTGACCTTTGACTACTATTGCGGTTAGCTACTTCAAAAATCAAAGATGCACTGATATTAGCATACCTCGTGTAGTATGATTGGTATTTTAACGTATCGCCAAGCGATTTAAAGAAGTCGGCTGAGTATCCTGCCCAAAAGACATGGTCTACACCCAGAAGCCCCAGGTGACATCAACCACTACAAGTACACGAATAATTGTACCTGTCTTGTGCATACGCACGTTTATCGTATGCGATTCGTTCTTACGTAGAATTGTCGTATACAGAGTGATAGATAAATGCAGGCGTTTAGAAGCTGCGACGGGGGATATTAAGATGCAATAAAATGTCACGTTGGAACATGTGAATGAAGCACAAGATATATAAAGACTAACAAATAACGATTAAAGACTAAGGTTATTCGGGAAACGAAAGATCGCTACAGTCGATGCATTTAAGCGATAGTTTTCTTTTCATATGATTTCGATAAATTCATCCATCGGTCGATGATTACTTGCAATTTCTATTTATTACTCTGATTTACACCAGTTTACGATTAATTTGTATTTTTAATAGTCAATAATATCATCAACTTCTTTAACGGCTGTACATTGATTTATCTAATATTTAATTTTTGAACTAGATCGTATTCTATTCACTTTTAGCGTGTAAGATAAGATAAAGATGGTCTTAGCTTACATTAACTTTAAGCTACTCGAATACCCAGCGTTTATATTTAATCACTGTCACAATCACTGCCATGCCACGGGTGGCAATACTAAGTTTCCCTTCTCGCAAACGTGTGGCAGTGACAATATATATATATATTATATATATTTATTATTGTACATTAACGATTAGTTTCGAACATTAGCTTGACATCTTTTGTACGTTAGAGTGTTGAGTGCAATACACGCGCGGAACATAGAACAATTAACAAAAGAACAAAAACGAATCATTGGAGAAGAGGATACGCGATCCTCGATTCAATTCTATTTACATTAAAAAATAACGCCGATATGTATGTGTGTGTGTGTCAAATTATATATTGTCTAGGACCAACAAACGGGAGATTGTTAGTCACCATGAAATTACCGCTTGATAGTGATCGAATTAAGCAATGGTTTATACACTGTTTATATATATACATGTATTTTTCATACGATATATATATATAGCTGTAACTTCGAGCAGATAAATATATAAACTTGAGTAAACGATTCTCGCAACTTATACGTGTTTATGCGTGCTTCAAATTTGTCATTGTTAAACGAAAACGTTCTGATCCGATTCGTACATATATTTTTTTTTTAATTCCTGGTAAAATGATAGGAGTATATTCCTAAAGCATCGATAGAGAGTCACGTTCGATATTTACACGTTTTCGTTTCACATTGCTGACTCACAACGCAGATGGGCAAAATTTATTCGAATAAGACCAGCTCAGATACACTAAGTTCGTTAAAAAGATACATTTTTCATTCCATAATTTAACCTGTAATCTTCATTCAATGAGTGACGCATAGAAAGTTTATTTTTTATTCCTTATTTGAAATGTTTATCTAGATTCGAATACTGCTCATCTCTGCTTTGAAGCTTTCGTGCTTACGATAAAGTTTGCTCCATCGCTTACGAGCGTGTACGTCGTATCAAAGAGTGCTAATCCTACGTACTGTTTACTGTATAAACGGATATACATATACCAAAGAGCGTTAACGTGCAAATACCTTACAGATCGTCGTGAAATAATTTGTTATCAGCGGTTGGTCGACTATCATATTTTATTTATACGCAGAGAAACAAGAGGTGTGTCTGTAACATGGAGAACTAACGGACATCTCGTCCGTAAATAAAGAACAAAGCATTCAGTCCCATTTGTGTCGTTTTATGGTTCATATAGATAGTACATTATTTTCTTAATTTCTACGCAATCGATTACACGCGTAAAAAATACTTTCGCGTATGTGGGTGCATACTCTGTACAAAATTATACAAATATGAACGATAAAAATCTCTGGTAAAGTGTATATATATGTAAAAAAAATAGTAAAAAACAATTCTCTACAATATTAACGATTGTATATAAAAGATAACTTATCATAATTTGGTCCGATGGCCTACGTTAGATAACTTATACAGTAAACGCGCTTACTGTAAAAAATGTTAAATCAGATCTTCATATCTGTGCAAGATGCGATTACTTTTAATAAATTTTATTACTTTTAGTTGGTTAGTAATATGCAATTGTACTTTGCGGACGGATAGTTTTATTTACGGAAAGAATGTGATCATAGGAAGAATTCAAGTTCTTCCTTCGCCATTGTGTTGTATTTTTAACGATATAAAGGGTACCAAGCCATGTCAATAGCATGACTCATACCATACGAGTCCTTACAAGCTAAAGTTTCGCGGTAAAGAAGGCACACGAACGTTTCTCGAATATCATAACGTTAGTCAAGTGTAAATTGCTCCCTTGAAATATATATAAAGTTAATATTAATGAACATTAGGACGGATCAAAATTACTTTATAAAGCAATTCACTCTATGCATTTGTGGTACAAATTAACATAATAAACACGTGCTAAACATAACCAAGAGGTATGTGCACTTATATAAAATGAAATATCATTATTATATTAATGGTAAAATATATTCAACATACATTATGTATGTTTTATATATTATTGCATGCATTATAAATGCATAAAATCCGCAGTTTAGTTATGAGTCATGCTCATAACTAATCGTGCCGGCCATCTTTGATTTATACATTACAAAATTACGACATAACCCTACCAGTCGAGATTCAAAATTGTCTGTACTTGATAGCTGCCATGAAATCCCCTCTAAATGTCTATCTTTGGAAAAGTATTTTATAAACTATTAACGATCCAATCGGTACGATCCACGCGATGGTTGGTCTGAACGTGGTCGCTGGATTGCATCCGTCGCCAGAGCAGGTGAAGATGCAAGTTCGATAAGTCAACTTATCTCCCTGTCGTTTCACATAATCGCAATAGTTTCCCAGATCCAGCGCTGAACAGAATCGTTTGGTACCTATTCCGCCTATTGTAATATACAAAATATTAGTTTCTTCCATTCTTCAGATCTTACAGCGTTGCTACGCACAAGAAGATGGAACATGCAATCGTGTAAAAGCAGAGGATGCTGATAAAAAAGCAGTACGTGCGAGACCAAGGTTGGGATGAAGAGTTTTAGAGATCTAGGGTCGAAAAACAATTCGTATAGAGACAATCTCTTTGTAGGTCAAATTTTAGTTTAGTATTTGAAAAAGAATGGAGCCTCGTAAAGGATGCTGTACAACAGCCATTTCCCTCCTAGACTCTTCATTCTCGTTTATGCAAACCAAAGCATCATGCACAACTAAAATTCCCAATCCTTGAATTACTTATTTTTTTTATATCTTGCACGAATTTCAAAATCAATTATTTTAGAAACGAGTGATATACGCAATGTTACTGTGCGATAAATAAAGAGTCAACGTCTATAATATAAGAACCTCCGTATCGCCCAAACGATTTGATGCAATAACGTGCACCGTAAACGTGACTGCAATTGGTCGGTATCAAGGTACTTTTAACCAATTTGTCGTCCCCGCAGACCAATTCCTCTTGTGGCGTGCATTGATAGCAATCCAGAGTTGTCGCTTAATGCAAGAAATTATCGGTTATAGGTTTTGTTTGATCACTAATGATATTTGCAGATTTAAACTCCAACTTCGAACTTAAAGTACACTAGGCGCCTAGAGGTTATTTACATAATCGATCGTGCTTTGATTTCTCCCATATGATTTAATGTGAAAGGATGGCCGCATGATTTCAGGTTAGTTTTCGTTTCTAATTGTAAGTGTTAAGCTTCCCAAACCAACGCCCCTAGACATGACATGTAACCTGATCTACCGATATTATTTTACCCTCAAATCGGCCTGTGTGCTTCACGCAGTATTTTGCACCAAAAACAGCATCGCAAGGCTGTGGTTCGATATCGATGTCGCTCGAGAGTAATTCGTTGCATTGGAAGGGATGCGTGTTGTTTGTGCTGATGCACTGATAGCATCGTAGACTGTGGACTAAACGAAAACAACGCGTAAGAAAGTCGGTTTTTAATCCTTTGTACATTGCATTTTTCAACGGTGATTCCTTTCGATCACTTTGTTATCGATCTGCTTATCGACCTATGTCAAATGAATCACAAATGAAATCTTAGTAGTACGAAATGAATTAAAAATGATCTAGTATTTGAATCTAGAAATGACCTTTGGCAGAATAATTTTCTTGTACAACTATCTGGTGGAAAAATAGAACATTGTAACAGGTCATTATGAAAAAACACGTATAAAACTGTCAAAACGGACACATGACAAATCATGTGAGCATGATTATTATTACAGCAGAGAATATTCGATTTCCAGGAAAACTGATCGATCGATAACTGAACTGACATTAATGTTCCGTCGTAGTTTTAAATTAATGCTTTTCTCGACCTGATACTAAAGAATTGTCTTAGTATTGAAAAATGTATTATCTCGATTGTTATTTGTTAAAGAATCATAGGTAACGCCATAACTAACCCATAAATCAAATAAATTTGAAAATACATCAAATAGAATTATATATGAAAGATTTACTCTTATGAGCAACAATTCGTTGCATCTACTTGTGTAGCTTCATTTTAAAAATCTCGTCAAATTACCATCCTAAATCTACGGAATTCGTTTGATTCTACGAAAAATAAGTGATCGAGAATCAAGTTTCGATCGACATTGTGCCTGGACCATTGTAAATAGTGCTCCTACTACCATATTACTCGCGATTTGCATTTTACAGTTTGAATATTGCACATTTGTATAAAATTGTTACAAATGCCCCGCCCAAGGAACGCGACGAGTGTATTCGTGTCGTCTAATAACGTGCGTTAACCTTACCAGTTTCGATGAGAAGAAGTAATGCCGCGAAAAATGCGAAACCTTTCGAGCCGCTGTTGGCGCCCATTTCAAAGATTCTTTCTCGTTGTAGATTACGAACGGAACAGTTGTATCGACCAAGGTCCGATTTCTCCACACGTTTTTCAACCACTTTCGTTGAAGAGTCACAACATAACACGCGACGATAACCCCTACTCGAATTTCCAGTGTCTGAAACGAGAGTCACGACGTCACAACCAGTTATAACCGTACGACGACGCGAATGCGACTATGGCGTCCAAGCTCACGTAGTATGGTTTGAAAAAAAGTTTTGGGGCGCCACCTACCAACTGCGGACGAACTAAAAGGAAGCTATATATATATAAAACAGTGGCTCCTTTAAAATACTTTAAATGACTTTAATTCACAAAAAGTATACCAGAGGATATAATACATAATTTTTGAAATAACAGAAATTCTTTAATCTGCGTTTACTCTTTCTGTGATATACTTTCTTTAAAGTCATTTGAAACATTTTGAAGTAGCCGCTGGCTTATATATAGCTTCCTTTTAGTTCCCCCGTAGTTTGTACGTGGCGCCTCAATCTTTGTCTCAAATCATATAACGCAATGAAAATGGGATCTATAATCGATACGCGCCAATAATTTCAAATTCCTGACCATTCAATGTTTCTAATAAAATGTTGGCTTTTATTATTTAATTTAATTAATATTTAATTAAATATTAATTGAATTTTATTTTATTTATATTTTTAAATGTAAGAGTCCTTGATTATATTTAGCTGTAAAAATTGTAATGGTAACAATTCAACGATTTATTTTCAGTATTATATATTACTATTCAGTTTGTTTGTTTTTTGTTTTACATAAACAATATACACTAAAATTTACACGTGTATGCCATATTTAATACATGTATAATGTAATATAATATGAATATAGATACAGCGAATTTAGTACGAAATATGCGAAATTAATACTAATATTACAACGCAACATTAACATGCTTTTGGCATGAAATGTTCTAATCATCCAACATAAAGTTAATACTTTTAAATAAAGAAACAAATATGTTTTTAACAGTGCAGCATACGCTACTCAATATTTCTTTTCACATGTTCTAAATATTTGATCACAATTTTCGCGCTCTGCGTAGGTACATAATTTTTAATATGTAAATTATTTATCTAAAAGTATTGTAAAGCTATAACCGATCGCTAATGCGTTGCTCTTCTACGGCGATACACTTGATGGGCTAATTTAGTCTAAAATTTCATTAGTTTGCTCGTCGTTTATCAAGTTTTCTACTACTATGGTGTTCATACTCCTATCTTTGGATATGGAAGACTTTGCTTTAGTTTGTTCTAAGTTACGGCACTGTTTTTTAATCGTTCTAGAAGTTCCTTTTGCGGTTTGCTTATTGCACAAAAATAATTTTGTCGGCAACTTGGACGTTTCCTGTACGTTGGACGATTCTCCTACTTCCGGGCGGGCTTTGTTCACTCTCGTAGAAACTATTTTCAATCTCTTCGCTCCTTGTTTCACGATTGCTGTTTCTTCGTAACTCAACGCCACTTTTGATATTTTGTTTGTTGTCATTGGTTTCTTGGCCTGATATTCTCTAGACTCTCTCATTTGCGATCCCACGGGATCGTTAATGCACCCGAAGCTAGACGTTTTCAAACGATTCTCTGTAGTCTTTAGAAAAGCTTTTACAACGCCCTCTGATCTAATTGCGGGAATTTTGGAATTATTTTCGATGTTGTTAACGCACTGATTCTTTAACGGTCTACGAGTTATAGTTTGTCGAGGTTTCTTGTTACTTTTTATTCGTTTCACTGCTGTGTAAAGAGACGTGCTGCGACGAATCATAGACGATTTTTTAACGAGATTCGTTTCGCTCTTCATCGACTTCTTTGGACCAATCGAGGAATCGCTTATTTGAGGTCTAATCCCTTTTAATTTGTACAAATCTTGAGACACGATATCGTTAGCATCCTGTGAATAAAAGCGCGGTTTTCGATTAGATTTTCGTTCACAATAACATTACTGTCAGGCGAGAAAACAAGCAGATCGTAGCAAACATTCTACATTCACATTACTCAGTACATATTCATTAATTCATCGTCAATGCAGGTGCAGTTTGTGAGAGAGAGATTAATTTCTTCTTAGTTTCTCGTAATTTCGTACTTGGAATTTTCGTCCATAATGTTCGATACAAAAAACGTTTCAATTTCTACTTAAACCTAATATACACATCGATATTTCTTTGAAAGAATTATGTTTAATATGATAGAAATACATGGACTGTATTATAATTTGATGCGACACTGGGACCAAGGATTCACAGGAATAAAATAAAAAGGACGTAAAGAAATTATCACTAAAAATACTGTACATTTATTAAAACGGGACGTGTACGTGTATATGTGTGTATGTGTATCCATTTGCGTGTTATAATAGGATACAATGTAAAATTTGTATACATGAATTTATACATAATACTTTCAATTAATAACAACATTTACATATAAATAATGAAGAGCATGACAATAAATATTGTATTATTTAGAGGTTATATTTTTCACCTGACGATTGCAGTACTCATTATGCTTTGCAATAATAACAGTCCTATATAACAATCCAACATACATTCATATTTATTTATGTAACAGACAGATAGAATACTTCTTTTAAATAGTTAAAAAGTATGTAGAATACTTGATTTCACCAGTCAGACTTTTATAAACATTAAGTGATCAATTTGAAGAACCCATAAATATTGTCATTTGTTCACTTCATGACAAATTAGAATAAAATTTCTAGAAACTTCAACAATGAACTCTGATTTAGAAATCTGCACATCTTTCGTGAATAGACTCCATCACCCAGAGATTAATGGTTTAATCGTCTAAACCACTATTTTTTGCTTTTCGCTAGAGAAAGACATTATTAATTACACACCTGTGTATTCCTCACTGTCACTCACAACCGTGAAATAATTTTTAAGTGCATGGTAATACTACTTTAAGTGCACTTGTCTACTGTCATCAGATTTGTAATGCATTAAAAACTGATTAAGAAACAGTAAATAGACAACAGTAAAGATGTATTATTAGCTACAAGTATAAGTATTAACATAATTAACTCTAATCTAAAATGATTAGATAGATAAAATTTTACAGTCTTTATAACTCGTTTAACATGATTGCATTGTAAAAAAAATTATGCAATAAAATGTTGCAGACATATTATATCTTTGTTATTATAACAAGCCATGTATTTTGCATTTTATATACACTTTGTAATTACGATTAAATCGTCTATATACTAAATCTATGAAAAAGCGAGATGATAAACAGTTTTCTTGTAAACCTTTATACGAAAGTATACCAAATATTATTGTCATGCATACATATATATTAGATGGAAGACCCATTAGTACAGCATAATAAAAATTTCACAAGGTCAATAATAGATACATATATAATAATAGTAACAAATATGTATAAAAGTAATCATAACCTATAAGAATCATAGAATCATTGGTACAAAAATTTTTCATTTACAATAGAATTTGGTAAAAGAATATATCTTTCTTTCAAGAATCAATTTACAATTTAATGAAGCTAAAGAAAGTAATATACAATTTATATGTATATAAATCTCTCTCCCACATTTTTAATTGGCAAGATAAAGTGCAATCTACTTAGGCACTAATGTGTCTTGGTAATTAATAGACGAAAGCATAATAATTTAGTGGTTTTATAAATTAAGAGAGTACACACTGCCTTATGTCAACGGCCGAAACTTCACTCTCAGAATTGACATCAAAATTTACCTTATGTAGAGACTTGCTGAATGGCGTTGAGAGATTGTTCACGTATGCTAATTTTAAATAAGATTTTACACCCCTTAAAGAACGATACTGACTATTTGGCAGTCGACTATTAGGATTGTTATTTGTAAGGTCAAGAATTGAGGGGCCTAACGCTGCTCCAACCTGCAAGTACAGTTAAATACGTAATTATTTATATGATATAAAATAATAATCGAGACATAAAAATTGTTAAGTGTTTCACCGCTTCGAAAACTGCTGGTGTATATTTCGGTGGAACGAATATAGGAGGCATGGTTTTGCTAATACCATCGCGAATCCTTGCAGGCATTGTATTTACCAAACGTCCAGAATTGTAATTACATTCGAGTGTGTAACTATGTATAAGACCAGTTAATTTATATACAGCTACACGTCCTGATCCTTCCCTGGACATACCATCTCTTTTGTCTCTGCACAAATAAATTCATTGTGTAAAATGTAAAAATTCTAATACCTATTTTTATTAATATTTTTTTTTTGTAAACTTACATAATATACATGTTTCTTTCCGTAAAATTACACGAGGTAAAATGAAAATTTGGATTGTTAATTGACATTAATTTTGGTAGAAGCATACACGTTATCGTATCTTCTGGATTTTCGAAGTAATTGCCATACATAAAAACTCCCTTCTTTGAAGCGTGGCCGTGAAGATCGATATATAAATATAATCCAGAGTCTTCTTTAGGTGACTGTCCTATGCCAACAGCTGTATAAGTGTTTTTATCAGATTTTAGTTCTACAGAATTATCGCTTTCTTCTGTATTATTACACAGTCCTTCTCCACCACCTTCACATAATGTTGCATAAATAAATAAAAGAATTTTGGTGATCATGTCGAATAATACAATTCAAAATATCATACCCTGAGGCATGTCATCCAAGTTGCTTTTGAGTAATGCGCATTCCTGAAAAATTTCTGGTTGATCTTTATGTTTTTCATCTAATGTCATAAGTGTTACCTATTGTTAGAATTACTGGTTAGTATGGATTTCCCTAATTTATTATGTTAGGACAACATGTTAGTATATGTTAATGTTTGCTTGCAAATTTTACACACAAATCTGAACAACATGTATAAAATAGAACTATGAAAATTTATTTTTCCTCAATTACCTGTTGAAGCAATCGTGTTGTTGTATCGCGTACAATATTAGCGATTGTACAAGAGGAATCGATAATAGCCAACGTGTTTTCTCCATTTTCATAATTAACACTTGGAACTTCATCCTCTTTAGGTAGTTCATACGTGTGATGA